TATATATATATATATAAAAACAAAAGTAACCAAAACACATTGTAGCCTCCCGTTAAGGAACCGGGGCACTGCATATAAGCAAGGTGTATCTTTGTGTCATTTGAGAGCATTTCTAGCGGAACGTTTGCTGCATTTGTCATTCTCTTTGTGTCTTACAGTCGCAATGACGCCCACTTGGTGGCTGCTACTTTTAGGAGCTGCTTTGCCGCATATGGCGGTGGCGCAGGAGCAGCCTTTGCCTGATGATGAGGACTCATTGGCAGATGAAGGTGGAGATCCTAGCAGTACACTGAAGAGAGCACAGGGGGCGCTAATCCGCAGTATTCTCCGGAGGATTGAAGAGGAACAGGCTGAGAAAGGTGAGCTTGTCCCTATAGAGAAGCTTTGCTTACAAGGTCCAGTTTGCATAGTGTGGGGGGGTGTGCTGGTGGTTTAATTGTCATAAAGACTAGTTTAGGCGGCCAATGCTGGTCTCTCCTTCTGGAAAGGCTAGAGTTTTGACTATGCTTGTTGAATGATCCATTCGGGTCTCAAAGTGTTTGTTAGTGACAGCCATGAAAATAACTTTTCTCTATAGTCCATTGAGGGACACAGGATCCAATACAACATATAGCACGGCCTACAGGAGGGATAGACACTAAGATAAACTGGGTACTCTACTGGTTTCTGTGTTACTCATTAAATAATAAACTGGGATTTCATACTTATCATAGAATGCCGTTCCCAAGGTCCATAGAGCGACACAAGATCCAATACAATACCATGGGTTGTATGGCACTGCCTATAGGAGAAACGGACACCAAGCTAAACTGGGTACTGTATTGGCTTCTGTGTCCCTCAATGAATAATAAAGAAACTGGGATTTCATACTTATCGTAACATCCCTTTCCAGAGTCCATGGAGGGACACAAGATCCAGTAAAGTATCATGGGTTGTATGGTACTGCCTACAAGAGAAATGGACACCAAGCTAAACTGGGTACTGTTTTGGGTCCTGTGTCCCTCAATCAACTCTGAGAAAGGGATTTCATGGTAAATATGAAATCCCTTTTCTCCATTGTCTATTGAGGGACACCGGTTCCAATGCAGTATTCCAGTTTACTTTAGTGTCCATTTCTCTTGTAGGCAGTACTATACAACCCATGGTACTGTATTTGATCTTGTGTCCTCAATGGACTAATAATAGGGATTTTAAAGTGAGTGCAAAATCCTGTTTTCTTTATCATCTATTGAGGGACACACGATCAAATGCATTACTCAGTTTAGATGGTGCTGCATAACCCAAAGTACTGTATTGAATCCTGTGTCCCTCTATGAACTTTGGGAAAAGGATTTTGCAGTAAGTACAAAATTCTATTTTTCTTTGTCATTCATTGAGGAACACAGGATCCAATACAGTTTAGCTTAGTGTCCATTCCTCCTGTAGTTGGTGCTGTATAACCCATGGTACTCTATTGGATCCTGTGTCCCTCCATGAACTCTGAGAATGCGATTTTATGGTAAGTACGAAATCCCATTTTCATTATTATCCATTGAGGGAAGCAGGAGTCCCCCTATGTATTTTGGGAAAGGGATTTTGCGGTAAGTACAAAATCCTATTTTCCTTATCATCCATTGAGGGACACAGGATCCAATAGAGTACTCAGTTTAGCTTAGAGTCCATTCCTCCTGTAGGTGGTGCTATATAATCCATGCTACTATATTGCATCCCGTGTCCCTCAATGAAATTCAAGAAAGGGTTTTTGCAGCAACTACAAAATCCTGCTTTCTCTATCGCCTATTGAGGGACAAATGAACCAATACATTACCCAGATACAAGCAGTCGGTGATCAGTGATCGCTGAGTGTTTGTAAATAATTGAGGACAGAGTATGGTTACTATCTCCTCAATTATGAATGAATGAGAAGTGATCTACATCACCTCCTACATCACTTCCTGTCCATTCATGATCGTGGTTATAGTAACCATACTCTGTCCTCATGTTATGAATGTACAGGAACACTCAGCAAGGAGGCTTCCTGTTCATTGATAACAGGGGCTGCACAAAAAAGAGATTGAGGACTCTTTCCACGAAGCCCCTAAAAGTAAAGTAAAAAATAAAAATACTTAATAAAAAATGAATACATAAATAAAAATAAATATAAAAAAATTAAAAAGTTTATAAAAAATAAATTAAAATAACATATTTTTAAAACATTTTAAAAATTAAAATAAAAACATTTTCGGGTTTGGCTTGACAATTCTTTCTTATTTCGGTTTCGTTTCAGTTTTGAAATTTGCATTTCGGTGCACCTCTAGTAAGAACCCATGTCAGGTATTAATTGCTGTCTATGTTCCCACTGGGGAGATGTATGCTCTCTATCTGTCCTGGAGACCATTGCCAGAGGAATTGAATGTGATGGGAAATTTACAATGTTTACAGTTGTCACCAGATCTAAGAAATAATGTTTCCTTACTTTGGAGAGATTTAATTTCACTTCTTGTTGTGTCTTCAGGACAGGACGTGAAGGGAATTTCCTCTGTGAGATACAGACAGCAAATAGATTTCGAACAATTTCAGAGTCTACACAAGAGAGAAATAAATTGTATAACTCAAAGGAGCAATAATAACTGTATACTGTATTCAAGTCCACTGTTGCTGTGTAAAGGATTCAGTATTGATAATATTGTATTGAATCGGCCTTGTCCTTTGCAGACTCCGACTCTCCCGCCCTGGACTGGATCTCCAAACGCCAACACCCAGGGAAAAGGCTCCTCGAGGAGGTCGAGAAGAGGCAACACCCAGGCAAACGAGAGGAAGGGGACTGGTATCTGGAGCTGCCCAAGAGACAACATCCCGGAAGGAGGTCCCCCTTTGGAGACCAGCTGCTCGACAACTCAAACCCTCCTTTGGGCCTCATGACTGACGTCTCCAAGAGGCAGCACCCCGGCAAACGCGGACTGGCCTACGCCAAGCGCCAACATCCAGGCAAGAGGGGTTGGGATGAGGAGGAAGATATGGATTTTGGAGACTTCCAAGAGGTTGACAAACGCCAACACCCAGGTAAGAGGTACCTAGAGCCCGAGAACTTTGACTATGTGCCACCATGTGAAGGACCAGACCCGTTCAACTGCAGCAAAGGAAGCCTTTTGTTGGAGCTTCTAGATAACGTCAACAGGGGCCGACAGGAGGAAAAGCGGCAGCATCCCGGACGGAGGTCAACTTGGGAAGCAGAGGTCCCCGTAGCTCAGGAATGACTTCCCCTCCAGTCCTCCGAAACCGTCAAAGAACACACCTCTAACGACCCCCCCCTTCACTACAGGGAAACTGACACCATAGCTCCAATTGTGCTATCCCATGACTCTAAATAAATTTACCACCAGCACTGTGTCTGCAGGGCACCGAAACACGCAACATGTCGCGCAGTGTTCTGGTATAACCCAGATCCTAAATGTAACCCGAACCAGTCCCCCCCCCCCCCCCCCCCAACGGGCCCACA